AAATGTAAAGTTTATCATTTTATAAAACTTTTTGTTTTTGTGAAAACTTGTATCTGAACTGTAAATTATGCTTTTTACAGTAATTTTACAGTTTAATATGGTACTATAGACATTGCCCTACTCCGCTCATATGGTATTAATTTTATTTGTGCAGGTCTTAAAAAAGTCTTAAATTTGAGCTTAAAAATCCTGCAGAAACCCTGTTAAAGGATGACAGTATTAAATGAAACCAGTTGACAAACACCTAAAACTTTCAGTAGTCAAAATTCTGTGCATCAAAAGCTAGTAATTGAAGTAAATTGCTATACTTAAAGGCAGATGTTGTTTGAACACTGACTCTTAACATTAAATTTAATATAAAATGGGTATGTATAGCACACTGTGCTAATGTAAATTGCTTATTTGACAACTTATGCCATGTTAGAGATTTAGATTATTGCAGGGTTAATTAAACATCTCAGTTCAGTTGAAGCATTAGCCTGAAGAAGCTTAGAATTCTGGAATAGATGGTATCAGGTCTGGTCCGCAGGTCTGCACTTATATCACTGGTCCAGTTAGAGTTGCATTTCACAGAATGAAACATGAAGTTCCAAAATGTTACACAATAACACCGTGTTGGGATGCAGCTTTAACCGATGGACATCATGTGACTGAGGGAGAGACATGGAAAGTGTCTGTATGATATGGATCTAAACACTGGACGTTCCGCACTACCTGCTAGCTCTCTCAGCCAAAATATTTAGTTTGACAGTCTGCTGCAAACCCCTCAGGTGAAGTCCACCATTTCCTGCATAAATTGCATTGAGGAAGTCACGCCATTTATTTACGTCTTTACTCAGGTTACATCATATTTTTTAACCAATAGGGCCACAAGCAAACAGTTGGCATCCAGCTCCTGACCTTAGTGACACGATACATTATTTATCTTACAGATGTTGAAGTGTGTTGCTGCAGAATGGTCACGTTGCTTGTGTTATCTTGGCAATAGGGAGCCATTTATCTCTTGACAACAACAACGTTAGGACTGACATTTTGTATTTACTTTACTTGGATTGAGTCAGTTCTGTATGTGTTTATCTACGTCATCAAGAGCCTTTTAGATATACTGAGAGGAATTCACTCAGAATGAGTTGCAGTCACTGATATTGTTATTATTGCACATGCTATATATATATATATATATATATATATATATATATTACTTTAACATCCACTACCATTCAAAAGTTTGGGGTCAGTAAGATTTTAGTGTTTTTTTTTTTGGAATGAAATCATCGAGGATGCATTAAATTGATCAAAAGTGACAGAGACATTTATAATGTTACAGAAGATTTCTATTTCAATTAATTATTCTCTTTCAAACTTTATGTTCATCAAAGAATCCTGAAATAGACATCACTGTTTCCACAAAGCTATTGAGTAGCGCAACTTTTTTCAACATTAATAATAATTGGAAGAAATGTTTCTTGAGCACCAAATCAGCATATTAAAATGATTTCTAAAGTAGCATGTGTTTCTGAAGACTGAAGTAATGGCTGCTACATTTTAAAATATTTAAAAATGGAAAGCAGTTGTTTTTAATTAGTAATGATAGTTCACAATATTACTTTTCTTACTGTAGTTTTAATCAAATGAATGAAGACTTTGTGAGCATAAGAGACTTCTTTAAAAAAAAAATCTTTAACTTTAAAGACTCCAAATCTTTTGAATGGTATATTCTTTGAAAATAATTCTTGTGAAGAAAACAAATCTTGTTATATTGCTATTTAAATATTAATACTGAAATACTAGACAAAAAAACTGATTACAATTTTTTTCTGAAGTCTTTTTGTGTTACTTATGCTTTGTGTGATGTCATGTCAACTTAATAGCTTGACCCATATTCTCATTTTACCTTCTCAGGTCACCACACCATATATATTGGTGTGCATGTGCCTAAGAGCTACCGGCGACGGAGACGTCATCGCCGACGCACCAGTCACAAGGACAGAAAGGAGAAAGTGACTGAGAATGCTTCGGACAGGTCAGATGCAGAGAACAATGAGGAGGCCAGCAACAGCATCCTCAAACCACTCAGTAAGCGCTTGCCAAAGAGCCGTCAGTTCACATTAATGCTGAGGGCTTCTTCATAGAGCCAGTCACAAACGCACACACACACACTCACATACACACACAGCTACAAGCCAAGGCTGCTGCTGACTCTACTTAGTCAGAACAGATATCCAGAGCTGCCTAGCCAGCGGATGAGTGTGTTTGGACAGACAGGGGCTAGGGCCCCTGCGTGTAAGTAATAACCATCCAAATGGGTCACGACTGCCTGACGTGAGCCGCTGGAGGAGGGAAGTATGTGTGTCTGAGATTTCTAATGGTGAAGGATTATACGCCCAAGGGAGAATCACTTAGGAGGTGTTTCTGTTGATTTGGATGCCAGGACTTTGAATGCTCTCCAATGATGTGATAGCTGAAAGGGAGAATGAGGAGGAAGAGAGGAGGTGAAAGGGATCGCATAAGCGAGGGAGAGGCAGACACAGAGAAAGAACATGATAATTTCTAAGGTCATGTGAGGAAAATTTTGCCCTAAAATTGCCCTACAGTGGTCATGTAGACTTATTTTCAGAAGTCAAAGTCAAGAAATGTAGGCTTAAATTAATTGTTTGCCAAAATAAAGAAAATCCTGTCATCATTTACATTGCTGTTATTTTTTCTTTCAAACAGTCTTTTCAGTAAGTAATCTTACCACCGGTTATCTTAACAGTAACTTCGAAAAGCCCAGGAGAAACCAAGGCAGAACACCGTATAACACCAGTTACCGTGCTTTGACTTTGTTTTGGAACGCTCAAATTGAGTTACGGTACTCTGCCTTTGTTTAGCAGTGCTTGTGGATTGTATGAAGTTACTGTGCCGGCCTGGAGTTATACGGTATTCTGCCTTTGTTTTACTGTCCATTAAAGTCTGCCACGTTTAAATTACGGTGTATCTTGTGTTATTTTATACATCTGTCTGCAGTTTTTTAGACAAACTAACTAGATAGATCGCAATCTACCAAACTGCTCCATATAACAAAGCACTGTAAACAAGCAAAGACTAGATAACTTGGCAACAATAATTTATCGTAAATAATCTTTAAACTTTTTTTTTTCTTTTTTAAAATGCAGATTATTCTCTCAGTACCAGCTTGTTAGATTGGGTCTGCCCACTTCTGCACGCGTGTGGACTCGAATGCCATGACAACGTAGCGTATCACACATAAAATCAGTAGAGTTCGCAATTAAATCCATATCCTACCTTTTCTTGTAACCCGATAAAATCCATGGCAATGAACGTCATCGGAGATGTTTAATCCACAAGCATTCTGAGAATGATTCCTACTTGCTGGCGTTCACATCAATACACAAGTCATCCTTTTAGTTTAGTTAAGGCTATTTTCATTCAATTCACTGTAAAAGCAATAGACTAAGTATGTCTTTAATTCTTTAATGTTAGTGAACATTGCAAATAAATCGGTTGCAAAACGGTGTCCACTCACATGTTTAAAGGGGTCATATGATGCTTTTTCACTTTTTCAACTTTAGTTGGTGTGTAACGATCCTTTTGAGCATTACGAAGATTTGTAAAGTTGCAAAGACTAAAGTCTCAACTCCAAAGAGATATTCTTTATAAAAGTTAAGAGTCAGCCACACCTACCTAA